TTGGATACGAGAATTAAAGTGCCACGTGTTGAACGCTAATTGATGTTGTAAGGTTTTTTTCAAACACTTGTCGTCATAATGATGTTATGAGATCCTGTTTCTTGCAAGGTACACTCTTGCCAACACCATCAATGGTTTTCTTACTGAATTGGTTAGAACATAATTTGTAATAAAAGTATTTGAAATAAAATGTAACACAAATTCCGAATACTAAACGTTTGATCGAAGCGTATCCTACGTGTCGGTCATATACTTACCGTTTTATCTTCGTCTTCGTATCCGGAGAAAAACAAAAATCCTATAAACACAATTTAAGTGGCGTCTAATAGTATGTCAGTTGCTAAAGTGATGACGCAATGACTGCGCGTCGATTATAGAAGTTATAAATTAAAATTATTTTAGTTTTAAAAATTAGTGGATTATTCTTTCTTCCATAGTCACGAACTTTCCTTCCTATTTAGGCTGATGGGGAATGTGTGAAGTAAACAAATAAAAGCTTTTTCGAACATTTGCTTCAGTAATCTCATAACGAACATTTTTAGAACGTGTAATCATTTTAGGCACGTTTACAAAATACATTTTGGCACAACTATTCACTGTCATAGTTGGCAATCTTACAATTGCACAACTATTGCAGAAGTGGCCCGTATTCTCTGACATAAATTTACTAGATTTTTTCAAGTTTCCTCACCAAACGGTAATATTTTCATTTATATTCCATGTTGAGTATTTTGTGAAGACGAGCCAACACCACAATACATGTACCTGTTGGACGCTTGGTCCCGAACCTGAAACGTCAATCTCAGCCCCATTTGTCAACCCGCACAAAGGACGTCTCCCATACGACGACGCACTTTCTTAACATTTCATAATTCCCATTCTCCCACACTTCGCCCTCTCCGAAAAGCCAACGAAACGAAACGAAAGGAAGAAAAAATCGGGACTTGTAAGGCCACGTCCCAACCATCACGTCCGCGCCGCTTGACTTGGACCGTTTCCACACGCCCCGCCCTCCCGCTGCGACGGTCTGCGATCGCCGGGGCGACCTCTGACCGCGGCGGGGTTGTGTTCCGAGCGCCGCCGGACGCGACAGAGCGAGAGAGGCGTGGGCGGGGTGGCGGGGGGGGGCGTGCGCGAGGTCGCTCCCGGAACGGGGCCGCCGCTCCCACCCACAATGCCCCGCGTTGCGCACGCGTGGCTGTCGAAACGGTTGTTGCACGAGCGTGGAGGGGCGGGGGGGGGCGGCGGGGCGGGGCGGCGCGGCGACGGCGACGGATGGATCTCTCGCCCGGGCCTGACAGCCGGGTGCAGCGGGCGCTGAATATATTAATGTGGGTTTCTGGACGTTGCACCGATGCGTTGTACAACGCGAATGATTCGCGTTTGTAAGTGTAGTGTAAGGCATCGGTTCGGACAACATCACCCCGAAAAACTAAATTCGTGCGTTCCTAAGAAAATATACATTCGTCAATGCTACTTTTGCAAATGGTTCGTTGGGGAAATGTTGGTAACATATTGCCTTTGGCGATCTTCGTTACGAATATTCAGTGTTCCATATATCAGTGTTCCCTTCGGGCGAACGTTCCTTCCCGGAGTATTTGTAGAGATAGTTTCGCATTTGGGGCAAGAATTTTTTTTTTTCAAAAAACAAAATTTTTAAATTCCCCCCGTAAACCTGGTTTTTGTTGTAATATGGAAATTTTTAACATTACGCTGGGTTGGGAAAAATGTATTTTCTTAAGGGCGGCACACATTCGGTATTCGGTGGAGTACCGGGAGCGACTGCTCGCCGACTCCCGAGTAGTGTGGAGTGGGTTGTTTTGCCATTTGCGAGCGACGAAATATTCGGGGTAGCCCTAACCCATTGCATGTCGGTCTCTTGCTCATAATCAGGAAGCAGACATTCACGGAGCACATCAACTGCTTTGGACAGCAGTCGCTCGCTACATCGAGGCATGCCGAATATGAGGAACCGCCTTTGGAGCATTTGATGTATATTGATCCAAGTGCTGAGAGGCATCTAAAAGAGGATTGTTTTATATGCGTCTAAAAATGAATGATAGTTCGAGTAAGCTATAATTATGTTTAGTATGATATTTTAAGATTAGTATGATATACTCGCTAGATTCATATCTAGTAACGCCACGCCTTACCCTTGAAAACAATATCCAAGCCGCAATTTTGTAAAAATGCTGAGGTAAACTTGTAATAATTAATTAAGAGTATTTAAGTGTTAAAGGGAATATAACGCTGGAACATAACTCTCACTAGATCTACCATGGCAAGTTCAGAGAAGAACGTGTACTCAACGCATATCGGCGCAAATAAATGTTCGATTCTTTTAACCCGGAAAGAGAAACACTGATTACTACTGTTACGTAGAGAGCCGCAGGTTTTTAAGGCGGCTACTATTCACAGCCTCTCCGTTTTTCAGCGAAGTAGTTATCACCTACAGCCTTATACTTACGGCCGTTTAACACCTTGATACCAATTTTTGAAAATTTTAACATGCCCAGGATTGAAGGTCTCGGTAGAACCAGAGACTATCCTACTTCGTTTGGTGAAATTGTGTTAAATCAGCAACTAAAATATAACTTCAATACTTGTTGTATTAGTGCAATGAGTATTTTAGTGAAAAGTTGTTTTTTTTTAGATCAGTATCGACGTACATGCAGTGTACTATGTATAAAAGTTTCAATATATACTACAGTTATATTTGAAATTAGGTAAAACCCTGAATATCTCAAAAGTAGGCAACGTCGGAATAGCCCCCTTGTTTACAGAACCTTTCATTATGAAACAGTGTAACAATCCGCAACTCAAAGACCTACCTATTTCCAGCTAGAAAAACGTAATAGCTGTCAGAATTGGCAAATCGTAAAAGTAAAGCGTGGAGGCCAAACGGTGTTTTCCTTTTCGCCGGGCATCCGCCTTCCGATCATCGCACGATCCCACACCGGCCCAGCCGCCACCGCCACCGCGCCGTTCACCCGCCTCAACGGCTCGTTTTCGTCACCGAAGCGCGCGGGGCGGGGCGGGGTCGGGGCGGGGCGGGGCGAGCGGGCCGGGCGGGCAATCCTGCATAAATGAGCTAGCCAGCTACGAGAAGTGGAAAGCGGCCGGCGCAGCGTTCGCAGCACTCTCTCTATTGACAGTACTCGTCACGTACGAAAGGGGCCGCCGCTCCCGGGCGGGCGCGAGCAAGGCGCGGGCGCGGGCGAGGCGAAGGTGCGTCGCCGGCCGGCGGCGGGCGGGGCGCAGGGCCCCGCGTGAGGGGGAAGCGTCGAAGGGCCCTGGGCGTCGCAGGGCGGAGGGCGGCGGCTTCACCCTCCCGGGTCCCCCGAATCGGGCGACCTCCGCGACCGCCAGCCCTGCGCTTTCGGCGACGCCCCTGGAAATGGAATACGCTCTTTTGGGGTGGGCGCCTCGTACACCACACGCGTCAAACCAATCAGGTGTTTTTAATGTCTAATGTCAAAATAAACGCGTACATCAATGTTGAAGTAGTGATGATGCAGCTACAATATTCCCTTCCCTTTTACAATAATAATAATAATAATAATAATAATAATAATAATAATAATACCATTATTATGAGCAATATTATTAAGCTAGAGACTCACTTTCTCAGGACTCCTTTATCGAGATACAAGCATGCGCAATGCAGAACATAAGATTAGTGAAGTGTATAGAGAATTCACAGTTTCAAGAATTTATAACTGACATTCTACAATAAAAACCACAACTTTTAAAACACATTTCTTCAATTTCTTTGCTTTCTTCAACATTTCTTTGCTCAAAATTACGAGTTATTAGATGTGTCACCTTACTTGTACTCAGACGAAATCTGCACTTTTCTTTAGGTAGTAGACAAAGAGAAATCTATTCGGACCGATATTTCAAGTGGTCTATTTTCTCCTTTATTTCCGATTGATTCGCGTCCTGCTAAATGGAATTTGTAATGACGAACGTCTTCGGCTGACGGCGTTCAAATATATCAACCGTCAGACGAATTTCGTTCGAACGCCGCACATAAGGCCACCTTCCAACGAAGCCCCTACGCCTCGACTCATAGATGGGCCAGACCGCTTCACCTACAGTCGCCGACCGGCGCCATTGCACGAGAACGGAAGAATTCGCGAGCCACCGCTGTAGGCCGGCCGCCGCATGGCGATCAACGTGATAACAAATTGAGTGACGCTTCCAAGTGGCATAGTGGGAAAGCTGACATTTAGAACTGTGTGCTGCTGGTGACGGCACGGAAACGCAACTGCGCTGCTGGGGGCAAGCGCAGCGCCGTGCTCCTCTCGTGTGAACACCTCTACTTAAAGCAATGCTTTGCCGCTTGCAGAAGCGCCATTCGGAAGCGCTGCCGAGAGTCTCTAAGAGCTGATCGCATTTATGGCCACCTTTATAAGAAGCCTCTCAGCATCACCCTCGAGAAGAGTCGTATCACTTCACCTACAACCATCGGCCAGCGCCATAGCATGGGAAGGTTTTGTGAGCGGTCACTATGGGGGCCGGCGGCCGCTCGGCAATTAACATGTTAACTAATGAGCTTAGTGTCGCTTGCGATCGGTTCAATGTGAAGGCTGCCATTTATAACAGTGTCATGCTAGCGGCGGCACAGAAGCACGTCTGAGCTGCTGGGGGGGGGGGTGCCACTTCACCGGTCGTGTGAACACCTCCTTTGAAACCAGAGATTTGAAGCCGCCAGAAACGCCAGTCGGAAGCACTCCTGGGAGTCTCTATAGCTGCCTTCACACGCCACAGCTGAGCGCAGCTGACCGCGAGAGACAAAGGATTGAATCACACGGCTGTAGTCTCCGCCGTCCGAAACACAACCAGCACGATAATAAACAGAACAGTGGCGAGTCCGAGTGGTGTACAGTGAAGGCTGCCATTTAGAACTGTGTTACCCTAGCAGCAGTACGGAAGCGCATCTGCGCTGCTTGTGGTTGGTGGTGGCGCCACTGAACCGCTCGAGTGAGCACCGCCATTTAACGCAATGCTTTATCGGCCGCACCTGCCCTCCAGCCGAGCGGCTCGCCCGTGCGTTGGTTCTCGGCGCGCAGCCACTGCAGCAGCGGCGCGAAGTAGTCCAGCACGCCCTGCGCGTCCAGGGCACGCTCGGCGCCTCCCGTCGCCGCCGCCAGCGCCTCGGGCCACGCCACGCTGCTGCCCAGCTGCATCATCGCCCTGCACAGCGCCCGCCCCGCCCCCAAAAATACGTTTTTTATTAAAAAAAAGGTGTTTCGCCTGTTTTTATCCCTTCGTCTGACTCTGACCTCCTAGTGAGGTAGTCCGTCTTGGAAGATTGTGGACCCCACCCACAGCAACCTCACCCCCGACCCCACCCTTAGCACTCCAGCCTAGCGATCGTAGTGTTACGAAATGGAAATATCATTTAAGTTGTATCAACTGGTTAGAAAGAGACAATATAGGTACATGCATCTTCGGTTGCTATGGACGCAAGTCTTTTTGGGGAGAGACTGGCTCTAGTTCGTAATAAATGGATGCGTGAGTGTATGTCGAGATATTTTAAGTGGTAATCTGGTTTAAATATCCAAATAGTAGAGTCCTCAAGAGATTAGAAGATTAGTGAAACATTGGGGAAGGTGTTTAAGAACATTAACCTGCGTTTCCGGCATACAGAACAAGATATTCGCGGAAGCGAAGCAGGTAATAGTTTGCCGATTGCTGGTGGTAACTTGAATTCATGCACAATATATTTCCTTGAGTTGGAACAGGTTAAATTGTGTTATTTAAAATTACATGTAGAGAGCAGTTAACTGACAGAAACGTTAGGTAAGTGAAAAACAACGGCAGCTGAATTTATTGGGTATACCAACGAACGCGGGCATTTACGGGAGCATACTCTGTTGCAGGACATAAGTTCATTAGATAAGTTACACTTACACTTTCCTCTCCCAACACAGCTCTCCACGTCTATCAAGTGATCCGTAATCAACCTTCCAAACTCAGTCCCACACCGCTTCGTGGCGCACTTCTTCAGTACCCCATGCGCCACATCCCCTCATGACTCGCCATCCTCTGGCCTCCAACCTAGCAGATGCTATCATCGTATTATTCACTCTCAAAGCTAATCCCTATGGTCTGCTCTCAGCGATCCACAATCATCCAAGACGGACTACCTCACTAGGAAGTCGAGTCAGTCGAAGGGGTGAAAAGAGTCAAAACAACTTTTTTAATAAAAAACGTATTTTTGGTGTGTATGTGTGATTTAGGTTCAGTGTGCATAAGTACGTTTTCATTGAATTTTTGAAAAAGATTTATACCTCGAATAACAATATTTTCTTTGTCAATTCTTCGAAGAACAGAATTTTATGTCGAAGCAAAGGGTATTAGAGACGTCTGTTTTTCTTTATCTCTCAGTAAAGTAATGCATTAATCGGGGTTCTAATTATATTGGTGCTGATTTAGTGTCGACAGTCATTGGATTTACGTTTTTCACAGGCTCTAAACTGATATAGTCATTTTTCTCGTAAGAGCAAAAGTAAGAGCCCGTAAGAGTGCTGTGCATGTTGAAACAAATTCCTACTAGATTCATGAGATGTTTATGAAGGTAATCATTTCATCATCAGAAGTGGTATATTTTGACTTACTGAATCGAAAATAAAATTTCTAATATTACATTTCAACATGCTTCTACAATTACTGCATATTATAAACTATTCTAAGTTATATGACGCGGAAAAATAAATGGTCTACACAGATTATGTTGTCTACGTAGTGTACACGTAAAAAGAGTCATGTAGACTACATATAGGTTACGTGTAGAAAACACCTTACGTGTAAAACTCTACGGCACAACACTGAACCAAAGCCACAAATTTAAAATAGCCGTTTAAGAAAAACCTTTTTTTATTTAAGATCTCATCAACTTCTAGGTCATTAGCAACCTCTATTACTTGTAACGGTATGTTAAGTGTGAAGATGACACGATATGATGATAGGGGGTGAAAGGACGAACACATTACAACCATGCCCGAGGCGGGACTCGAACCCGCGATCCTTCGGTCCGAGATCGCTACGGTACTACTGCCGATAACGTTCACCGGATCGGCTAGAAAACCCTTTTCGTATTTGTAAAAAACGCGGAATCCGAAAGGATTTGCGGTGGCATCGGGAGAAACGTAAAAAATCCGGGAGTGTCGAGTGGAAGCCGCACCCGAGCTTGTCGCCCGCCGAGGCGTTGCTGTAGAGGTCGCAGAGGAAGAGCGGCCGCTTGGAGGGCAGGCGGGGGTCGAACTGCCCCGCCGCCACGCACAGCGAGCGGAACAGCTGGAACTGCAGCACGCCGCTCACGAAGTACCTGCCGCACAACGCGCGCACCGTTACGGACTGCGCGCACTACAACAGCACATGCTTTCTCCAAATATTTGCGATGTTTGCAATATTCGAGGAATTAGAGGGCTCAATTGCAAGCGCTGAACAAATGCCAAACTTACCGCCATTTTTATAAACTTACTTTACATTAAATATATAAAAGATGTTCTCCGGTGTCAAAATTATATTTAATCTAAAGATCAACATCAGAGCTAAAAATAAAATTACAGGAATACATCATATGCCAGATGCGTAAGCAAACTGTGTCGCACATACCTTGCAGCGTGAAGGCGGCGAAACAAAGTTCTGCGTTGTTTTTTGTTTGTTTGTTGTTTTTTTTTTTTTGGAGAGGGTGTCTTGTTTAAGAACACAGAGCGTCAGTCGGCAGCGTGCAGGGGCGGAGTAGAGTGGGGCGGCGCGAGCGAAGGGTCGTGAGACGCGGGGGGGGGGCTGGAGGCGTGAGGAGGAAGGCGGGAGATAGATGTGTGCACATTGGCCTAACTTTAGCAGAGGTGGCGAGAGTTCAGGGATTTGCTGGTTAAGACAAGTCATAGTCTGGTTTTTCTGGTTGTTACTTTACTTACAAATTTGGAGCCATTTAAAATTTAAAAATGTAGTTGATGCTTCATGTAAAGTACCCCCAAAAATTAAAATATCAGTTTCAAATTCGATGCACGGAACATCAGTAATACCGAAATCACAAATTTGGTGAACGTCTTGCCGAATGCTTGTCGAATTTCTTTTGTTGTTGTTATCTCAGATCGCATCAACAAAGAAGTCATTTGCGACCACTATTTGATATAACGTTACGGTTCCAGTGAAGATGACATGATATGGTGATGATAGGGGATGAAAGGAAGAACACGAAATCAACCATGCCCGATGGTTAAGGCACCATACCCAGACAATCAAACGTTTAGCTTACGCGTAATGGATGGTTGTATTCTAGCAATAACTTCGAAGATGGCAACATCGGAGCACTCACTGTAGGTAGGGCGCGCCGGCCGCCACGTGGTACTTGGCGCCCGGGTCGAAGTCCTCGTCGGAGCGCTCCACGGGCGGCCCCACCCCCGCGTACTTGCGCCTGCGCAGCAGCGGCGCCGCCGCCCTCGCGCTGCACGCTCTGGGAGGCGCGCCTGCACGCGCACGCGCTCCGCTACGGCCGCCGTCACCCGCC